TTGCAATTGCCCTGGACGGCAATTGAGTAGCGGTGTGTGAGGCGAGGATGTCATCGTTCAACCGGGCTCAGTGCCTTCTTGGGCAGCGCTTCTTCGCACCTCAGCCGCAGAAACACATTGGCAGGCTGTGGAAGCGACTGACACATTCGTGCAGGCCAAGTTGCAGATTGTAGCGCAAAATGACGAAGAGTGGCAGAGCTGTCAAGAATGCCTGGCGCAAGCAGCCGACGGCCAGATACGGCACACGATGGGCACCTTGGGCCCAAGTCCGAGCGTCCGAGCCTGAGGCTGCATGGCACAAAGCCAGCGACAGGCGACAGGTCGAGCGCTTTGTCACATCTGCCCTCTCCACAGGCCCTGCGGTTTGAGCCCAAAGATGGCGTAAAACAGAGGCAATGCTCAAACGAAGCTATGAGATAGTAACCAGATATGCAGTGCTACGAGTACAATAGTTGGCTAACTAGTACTTCTCCTGGCGCCTGCAAGATCGGAAGACAAGGAGGCAACAGCTTTGATCTCACATAGTTCGCAGAGACTGTGTGGCATGGTGCCAGCTGCTGGCCTCAGAAACATACTTTGGAGGTCTTCTACCGCTCGACAGCTCTCGGATCCTCGAAGTCAGATTTGATCTTCTGGCCTGAATCGCGTAGCTCGTGAAATCATGCCATCATGGGCGCGGCATGCCATACATGAACAAATCTTCACCCTGTCAGCCACAGCTCATGATCGGTCGCTTCCAAACCCTTCAGCCTTAAGGGGCGAAGTACGGGTTGTCGCTGAGTGCCTGAGATTGTTGAAGCAAACACCAGCATGGACGTACGTGTATTGCATGCCTGACAGCCAGCACAAAGGCCTGGATTATGCAATAGCCAGCAGCCTCAGCGAATCTCAACGTAAGCTTCTCGCTTTCAGCATTGCAGCCGCAGCATCCGCGCCAGCATTTCGATTTTTGCGCACCTCCGCCTGGCATAACGAAATCGGGTGCTGAACCCAGGTACTGGCCGCCAGCTCAGCTCCACGATCAGTTCAGCAGGTACTCTGCAAAGCACGCTGGCCACGCTCGTTCTTTCTCGATATTCCGCAGGGAGCTGAAGTTGTTGATCCTTCGGATATTCGGATGGTACGAACTGCTTCGAGATGTCAGTGTTCGCAGGTACTTGGCACTTTGGCTCAGGCAGGCCTCCGTTTCTTCTTCGGCGCATCCGAATCGCTGTCGCTGTCCCTGGGAACAGCGCTTCGTACGGCCAAACCCAGAGTTTGAAGGCTTTGTGGCTGACTACTGCTGAAGGCTTCCAGAGACGAAGCCGGAGCTGTTATAGTTATATCTGCAAGACTCTTCCATACACGACTGCTGCAGGCTGACTCCTGGCATCCCAAGCAATCTCAAGCTCCCGGCGAAGACGAAGAGCTCTTGGCTTTCTTTTTCTTCTCCTTTTTCTCTTTCTTCGACTTTTCCTTTTCCTTCAACAGGTTGAGTACAACACGACCAGAGGTGAGCCGACCTGATTTTCGATCGCCTGAGCTGACCTCAACCCAGTCGCAAAGCCTGAGCCTGCCTAAACACAAGAAGTTCGAACCTGCACCGGTGCAGCTGCGGCAGGAGGTGGAGGCGCCGCAGCAGGGGGCGCTGCCGCCGGTGGCGCTGCGGGGGGAGCCGGAGCTGGAGCCTCGCGAGAAAAGCCTCTCTCGGACTCTGCAGTTTGAACCTACATGCCAGGATGGATATGCCTTTCCCTTCTCCGTGTCCGAGTCAGATTCAATCACCATCGTGGCCACCTGCGCGAGCAGAACAGAACACCAGAGCCCGTATCCCGAGAAAGAGTGATTTCGGTTACGGTCCCGATGGACTAATACTAGCACGGTGCAGAGCGGCTGCTGTAGCAAACTGAAACACGCTGTTGGTAACCCCGACGCATCGGACTGCTCTGCAAACCGAACCCCAGGAACAGCTCGATGCTTTAACCCCAAGAACACCTTGCTAGGGTTGGGGAAGGCCGCAAGATGCCGCAAGAACCCTTGAGGCAAAGATCAAGATGCCTTTGGTGCCGGCAGTGCTGGCGTGGGACCCTTGCCATCGGCTGTGCTGTTGCCATCGGTCTCTGCCGTCTCAGCCTGTCGAATGCGGTTGATCTCTCAGCAGCTCCTCTGATAGATACAAACTGTGCCAGCTCACACCAGAACGTAAGGTTTATTCTAGACGCAGACCCCACATCTTTCAGCCTGCCCGACCCAAACTTGTTCCTTTTTGCGGCGATGCTCCAGCACCGGCTCAGCCATGCTAGCCTTTGGCTACACACAGGCTTTCATGTTCGTGAGTGTTGGAAGTCTGCAATGTGCCATGTCAACACAAACAGCTATCTGAGGAGGCTTACAACCTACTACAAAGCTTAATGTGCACGGCACGCAAACATCCCACCGCACAAATTACGACCAATTGGAAGACGATCCTGCTGAAGACGCGGCTAAGCCAGTGCCTATCAAAACTGCATGAGCAAACTGTACATCACAGAGTCATTCTCCTTGTGGGGCCAAGGTCTGTACCAGCCCGCGCGAAGTCCCTCCTCTTCCGATCTAGACACACTGAAAGAAGATGGTTCACTAACATGCCTCTGTCGGGCATCAATTCTCCAAGCCAGCTGTTCAGGGAAAGCTTCTTCTGGCCCCCCCTGAAGGCCACTTGATCTGTCAAAGTGACACCCTGCTGCGGCTGGGTGCAGCATCGTCGCAGAAGCAGACCTGGAGTCAGAGTTTCTAGAGAAAATGAACTCCCCAAGCAGCCTGCCAGTCAGGCCCCCTCCCTCGCGTCGAAAATACCGTGCAACACCTTGCCTCCTTGGCGAGTTTGAGCTTCTCCTCCCAGTCGAGTTGGCTCCTGGCGGCAATATCCTTGCAGCCTTGCCAGCGGGGGTGTAGTAGTCGGGGGGCCGTCCTCTCCAAGGGGTTGTCTTGCGCTGTACGTCGAGCTGGAACTCTGCAGCGCCGCATCGCGAGCAAACAGACTAGCAGCAAGCAAACGCCACCCAGGAATAACCTCAGGCCCACGAGTTCATCACTATTCAAACTGACACGTCCTGTTGGCGGCAAGAGGAATCCGGGGCCGTGACACGCTGACCAGAGTCACCAGCAAGGAAGTGTCCTTATTGCAGCTCGCATTTCACCACGCTTGCAACAACTGCTACATGTAGCAGCAAAGCATGGCTGGTTGTGCCGAGGAGCCATGCCTGGACTCCTGAGTACTGCCAGGGACCCACTTACGTAAAACACTGAAGTTCTTGAAGCAAACATCCGCTTGAGCCTCCGGCACTCCCTCCAGTGGCTCTTGCTGCCTCATGGGCGGCGGCGGCGGGGGTGGCGGTGGCGGTGCAGGCCAATCATCCTCAGGCGGCGGTGGAGCCGGTGCAGGCCAGCCGTGACCAGATGTGCCAAATCCAGCGGTGGTGGTGGTTCCTGACACAAAAGTCTTGTCTCAACCAAAAGAACCGCCGCAGGCAGTCCGAAGTTGAAAATCCAGCACATCATAGTAAGTTAAACAAAGCGTAGCAGGCAGAAGTCCCGCGGGCTCAGGCCAGTAGTCCTGGTGGCAGCTCAATCCGGAGTCAACGGTTCAGAATCTTAAACGGCCACTGCAAAGTCTCCTCTGTTGTCGAAGTGGCTCTCACTGTTGCGGCAACCACAACACCAGTTACGACCAGGCCAACCTGAGCACCAACATGCTGCTTCATGCGTAGACTTCCTGTCAAGTCTTGCGTTGATTCTCGACAGAGAGATTCGGAAATACGATGTGCCGGTGAAACGATTGCGCTCTCGAACGTCTGCATGCGGCCCTGATGACTGAAACGCTGCCCATGGCCACGAGCAACACCATGCGACTTCTTGCGAGAGAAGGCTTCTCACTCCTGAGCTTAGTTGCGCAAAGCTGCAGTGAAGGGACCTTAAAACGGGGCACCTGCAGCAAAACTTCGGACACAAGCCTGCCGGGATTCTTTGAGCGTCCGAACAGAGACCAGTTGTTCAGCTCCTCTTCAGCACGCTGCAACTCATCTGCCAGCATGTCCTGCCAGTTCGGGTCCTGATGCAGACAATACTGGGCGCCGCAATCTTTCCCAAGTAACACATCCAAAGGCAACGACACAAAATTGACATGAATCCTTGTGGGCACTCACGAACTTGGGTTGATGTGGATTGCGTTGGGGCGTGGCGTGACATGGCACAAAAAGGTTGTTATTCCACGGCCAGCTTTCCACGGCGGGAAAGTGGAGAAGCAAACTTTAAGATAGTCAAGCATTGACGGGTTGCAGTGCCTTGCGATCTGCTGTCATGTAGCTGCTACAGCTTACAGTGGGCGCGTGTGGTGCATCGCGAAAGCAACCGAAACCCCGAGCGGCCGCCTTCTTGGCCAGCACGGCCCGAAGGGATTGCAGGCGAAAGGAGAAGATCTTCCAGTCCAGGGCACGGAAGCCTGGCAAAGCCCACAGCAAGGCCCACTATTGCCGCTGTCACAAGAACATGAAATCCAATGAGTTCCCTGCCACCGCCTCCCAGGTCCTGAATACGTGACCGGATCATCTCGGCATCGGCAGGATTGCTGCAGACCGCGCTGTCAGTGCGAGCTTTTAACAGCTCCACTAACGATGACTGGCGCTGATTCAGGTACTGCTCGGAGAAGGCGATGCCAACCTGATTTCGAAGCCACTTTGTGGATACGTGAAGTGACAAAGCTCTGGTCGGCAGCTTCACGCCTCACACAGCAAGTATTCGCGAAGCAGAAACATAGCCAACAAGCAGCTTTGGATTCGAGGCGCGTGGCTTCTGCAATCTCATACACACACCTTGGCTAAATTCAATAGCTTTAGTACCTTCGGAATCAAACACATGCTTTGTACCCCTAGAACAGCGGAGGCTTATCCGCAGGTTCTAGGCTAGAGCGATCAACTTACAAGGGCGTGATCAATTTCAACCAGGACTCCATAAACGCTCATAGACTCGGGCAGAGGATGTGTGAACCACCACCATACCAAGAGCCGGAGTCGTGTGTTTAATCACGGATCCGAAAGGATCCAGCTTGAGCTGCTCACTGATGCTCGGCCCCACATCACCAGGCTCATCTCCTGCCTGGTACTGGGCAAATCCGCAGAACCAAATACTGGTGGAGAGCCCGGGAGCGACTTCCAAGCAATAGTCGACAATAGCTTCCTCACACTCGTCCATGTCCTCCTTGCACAGGAAAATAACGAAATAAGAAAGGGTTATTATAACTAGCCAACTTCAAGAGCAAGAGTCCGCCTTGACCCAGCTACCCTCAATGAGAGGCACATTACAACGAGGCTCCCCCAAGCTTCAGGAGCATGGAAGTGCAGTTGTTGAGTACAACCCACTGTCTCGACACCGATCGAGCTGCGTGCATCCTGCTTTTTACATTCGCTTTGGTCGGACCTCTCTTCGAACGAGAGGCTGTGTTCTGGTCGTCACTACTGCTTGGTAGTCCGACTGGTGTTTGAGCAAGAGGTCGGCCATGAGCTGTTCTCCCTCTTCCTCCGGCTTTCCGATGCGATCTCTTGTAGTGCACTGTCTGCGGGGTTGGGAGGTAGACATGGCGCACATTCTGGACACTGAACGCAGAGCGCCAAACAGTAGCAGCATGTCTGAAGCGGCTGTGGCCGATGGAGGTCAAGATCTAGCTACAATCGTTCCGACCGATGGTTCTCTTGCCTTCCGTCACCGTCTGCGGTTTCGTGTTTGGTGTTTGGGCTAAACCTTTCCGGGTTTGTGCGCTGCGGGACTAGGAATGGGGTTGGGTCTTAGGGTTAACTGTTTGGAGGAAGGGGAAGGATTAAGGTTTGGGGGTTGGAGCCTACTCGGTGTGGAGTTTGTAATTTTCGGTTTGCTGTTCAGGCCTCCTGGGGCTTTGCATTTATGTTTTCGGGTTCAAGGTTTACCAGGAGTTAAATTTATGTTGCATGCATAAGCCCAACGCACGCCGCACGTCCTCGAGTGAGTCAGGTGCAGTGTCTGGACAGCTACGTACGGTGGTTCTGTTAAGCAGTTAAACACAAGAACCTGCTCTTTTTACACTCCTGCCCAACCAGCCTTCATCTCCACCCCCTCTCTGTTTCTTGACCCACGCCGGCGGTGACGCCCTCCCTCTTTTCCTTTAACACCCCTTCTTTCCTTCTCTGTATACAATCGTATACACGAGTTGATACTGATTTTCGGCATGCACCGCCCTGTAACAGGAGCACGACTTCAAGTCCCGGCAATAGCATGGTGTGGCCCTGCCAGGATTCCTGCTTCAACTCCGTCCCAAGCTCGACAGCATTGCAGTCAAGATGCTGCCCAAGTGTGGGAAATCATCAACGTTGCCCGGCCTCTGTTGAACTTGCTACTTGTCGCAAAGCTGTGTCAAAGTTCCAGCCTAGCTACGAGCGTCCTCCTGAGACGCATTCACCAAGATGGCCACGGAGCGATCAAGGTCGGTACCGCCACTGTCGTGGCTGCTACCGAGTAGCACGGCGCTTGGTGGTTCATCAGCAGGGCAATTCCACAACCCGTGCCCCGAGTCCATGGCTTCACAAGCTGTTGGATAACGTCCTGGGAAAGGTGCAGACATTCACGCAGGGATTCGTTACGTGGTCTTCACAAGTGAGGATTCGTTGGTTCGGTGCATGCATGGCACTGGCCTGTATCGGCCTGTGACAGCTCTGATCTTACAGCTCTACAGGGCCCCTGCTGCAATGCTGAATGCTCTGTCGGCCTACCTGGTCACCTGTATCGTGGCGCTTGCACTTGCGGCGGAGCTCGAAAGCCTTCGGCCGACAAGGCCCGCGATTGCCCCCGACATTGCTTACGCAACTCAGCCAATGATGCTTGCACTGCCAGGTGTCATACAACGTCACGACATCTCGCATCTCCTTTATCCATGGCCACAGTGCGGTCTGTCGGCATTCAGACAGAAACCTCTGGCACAGCAATGACTGTTTCCAGAATCTTGTAGCAGTGAGTGCGCTAGCTGAGGCAATTCGATTGTTCCTACGCTGTGGATGGTTGGGTATCTCGCTCGCGGTGTTCTATTCCTATAAGCTTATGAGCACGGAAGATTTGTTGCAGGAGAAGTTGCTCGCGGAATTGCGTGGCTGTCATGCCCCAGTCCTCTCAGGCTTGATGATGCGGGGCTCTTCGAGTGTTGACAGGGGCCGACTGTGCAAAAGCAGCTTTGCAAAAAACAGGTCCCCTGCTCCTGCGGTGGCACCTCCCGATTTGTGCACACAGCTGGCCCCAAGCACGAGGGAAGGGGCGGCAGCTCCAGCAAGCAGCTGCATCCATCTGGACAGTCTTTACATTGGGGCATCGATAGCCACTTCGGCCGAAGCAAAAGATTCCATGCAAGCCCCTCATGTGAAGGCCATCTTCGTTTTACTGCTCTTTCAGACGCATCAGGTCATTTTGAAATGCCACCTGAGCCCAGTGCGGAAATGCTGTCTTGCTTGATCTAGTTGCTTGGGCCAGTATTGGCAACGCTGACGAGCAGGGTCTGGTACGTGCACGTGCACGTGAAAAGGCATAGACCTACCCAGCGGAAACGAGTCGTTCTCTTCTTGCTTGCAGCGTTGCAGGGACCAGGCTATGCTCTGATCGGAGCTTGTTTCATAATTCTAATTTGACGCCAGTCGGCTGAATTGGACTCAAACAAACTCCACCCCGGCCAGCCTTGTTCTCACCAACGTCTTTGTTCTCTTTGTTTTCTTTGTCGTCGCCCTTGGTCGGTTCAGGCGCAGCGCCAGCTTCGCCTGGCCCCAACGCCAAAGCCGATTTCCCGGGTCCGTTTGAATACATGCACTGTCAAGATCTCTCATGCACCTGAGCCCAAAAATACATGAACTGTCCGCATCTGTCCGCAGGTTGCACGGGGAAGAGATTGAAAGAAATCTCAAAGACTTTCCATTTGGCGCCTTCTCCCACCTTGGCCTTGCCGACCTGAGTGCTTGCGGACACAGCGTGCGTGCACAGAACTCGTCCAACTCTGGGCCCTGCCATCTGCATAAGCAGATCATCGGCGGATGTGTTATCCACACCTTCAGGAATCGCCCAGGTAATACTAAAGGTGTACAGATGCTCAGCAACGGGAACTGTTTTGCAATAAACATCCGCCCCACGTTGACTTACCGAGGCATAGCTCGGGCACACTCATACTCCCCGTGCGGGCGGAGGTCTTATGACGACATGAACCGAGGTTGGTTTGCAAACTCCAAGAAGCAGCACCGAGCTGTGACAAATAATTGTCTCGCACCATGTGAGACGAGCAGAGCTTGCAGCCTGTGTTAGGCAGCAGACCTGTTGGATCCGCCATGGTGCCGCAATCCCAATGCAAAATAACCCAGTTTTGGGGGGGAGGTATGACAGCAGGTGATGGGGCAAATGCTTGTGGGCCCTTTGGCAATCGCTACACTCTTGACTCCAAGCTTTCCGTACAAGATGAACATGTCAACAAAGTCTGTTTCTGACCTCGACTCTATGCGAGTCAACGAACTGGCCTGCTTGTATGCTTAGAGGGAGCTGTGCAGACTGCAATGTGCATTCCTACGCTATCAAGGCGGCCAACCTATCTTGATAGTAAACGCAGCCGCAGAAAATGTCGGTAGCATGAAGACTTTGCCTGTGATTTTCTCTTGCATCTCTCCACTGCTCACTGCCCCCTTGAGCCGAAGACAGCGATGAATGGCAGTTCGTCGCAGCTAACAAAGCCAACAAGGTCCACAGCACAGTTCTTTCGACGAACATGACCACAACTTAATCTCTGCCTCCGATCATCAACCCTACTACTGGTCATGTTGACGATGGGATGTTATGCCCGTAGACGTGATGGCAAGAACACTTATGCAAGTCATAACAATAGTAGTAGAGACAACGACCATGAATAATGATCAAATTCTAGTAGAGACAACGACCATGAATAATGATCAAATTCGATGACACTGATGATGCTGATGACAACGGCTACACGTATAACAACGAAAGGAAGACGAATGGAAACTGAGCCAGCGTGATAGCCTTGTAAGTGCCTTGTAGCAGTGATGATAACAGCAACTGCGGCAGAATGGTCACATGTGCCAGCACCGGCAGTAACAGAAGCGAATGAGATGTTGATGATGCTGATGGCACTGATGAGAATCACATGCGGTAACCTGACACGATCTTTCCGCGGCAACAGCTCGTCAGCGAGTTGGTTCTGGCCGCAGGATTCTCTTCGACAGGAACCATCAGGAACCCTCAGCATCACTCATCTGTGCTGCGATATGGGTGTGATCATTTAAGCTCTTCGCATCCTGTAAGAAAACCCACCATCTACACCACAAAAGAACCTCATCAAACGATCCTACTTCGTATGCAAGGAAGAGAGTCCAGAGTTCGGACCCGGAAGACTTTGCAAATCTCTGAGCAGCAAGGCTTCGCCTGCCTTGCGGTCGAGCATCCGCTCCGATTAGCGCAAGCCAGGGGCCAGGGTTGCTGGCATTCCAGCTGGAAGCGAGTCGAGTCATGCAGCACGCACAACTCCACAACTCCTCCAACCCCCACTTGGTGAATTCGCACAGCTCCTGCTCTGGTACTGCCTCACTTGACCAAGCGTCGCTCGAAGAGGTAATCAGAGCGGGGCGCCTGAATTGTCACCTTGTCCTGTGAAACTTCCGAAGATGCAGCACGCACAATGTCTGCGAATTCCTCATGCCCAGGCCATGCGGGGTCCTTGTACTCTCCGTGGCACAGAGGCGGTGGTCCAGATGCCTTGAACAGGAGCGGAATCTCAGTTACCCTTCGATTCAAGGAACCGCTCGCACCCAGCCTTGAAGTCCACCATTCCGTGGTCTGCACCTGCATCTTCGGCCCACTTGCCTGCATGCTTTCCCACACGGATGGTCGCACCTCGCAGTCATCCACAAAGAAATTGCCACTGTAAGAGCTTCTGAGCTTCGAAACGACAGCCTTTGTAGCAGCAGTCGAAGATGGCCCAACCTCAGTCCCGAGTCCCGGAAATGGACGGTCACAAAGAATGGATTTCTCAACTCTCAGAGAACCACCCATGTCCACGATATCATTGGCCTGTGCTTCCAAGGGGTCCTGCACCGGTACAAGCCGCAGGGCCGCACTTCTCCACGGTGGGTGCGCAGCACGCTGCACTGCGCCGGAATCCTTGAAGACGAGGCGGCTGCATGCATTCTGTGCTACCACACGCCGGTATGAAGACGTTCGAAGCACCTGCACCTGTTCCGACGGAGTCAACTACCCTCTGAAGTTTGATCAGTTCCAGCGGTATGCCGCAGCCAGCCAGCTTGCTGTTGAAAGCCAGTGATTCTGACTGCAGAGCAGTATCCATGTCATGCCAAATCTTCCTGCCTTGCCAAGACTTTGCGTTCCTCCGCCAACGGCATAGCTTTGCGGTCCGTCTTCCTTCGCGCAGCTACGTGCAGGATCTCGCGCGAGTGTGTGTGTGTGTGTGTGCGTGTGTGTGTGCCGCCAAGCTTGACTCTTGCGGAGGACACTTAGATCCAAGCTAAAGCGGTGCCCTCGGACTCCGGGTCCACATCTGCCTGGCTGAAGAAGCCCAGAGGGACACCACCTGAGCCAGTCGGAGAGCGAAAGATGCAAAACCAAGGGTGCTTGTCATGTCATCTTCTTTGTGTAGACAGTGAAGCGTTGTTATTACTTCAATGCATGGGCCAAACTATGAGCCTGAGCACATGGCCTGCAAACACCTGCAGGTAGTGCAGATCCAGCCAAGCCGGAATGATGCCTTCGTCCAGCAACTTGATACGTACCTCAGAAACCCCGCGCATCGACAAGGAACCTCAGAAAGATCCGTGACTGAGTCTCCGGCAGCCTTTCCTATTGAACTGGGGGAGGTTGCGCGAGCCTCTATCGTCTCCTCCACAGTGAACCACACGTAGCCCTTCTCCTGCGGTACCTGCATGGTGCAGCTGGCTCCATGGAATGCCATCGCCAGAAGGCTTCTTCCGTGTTTGCCTCTGGGTCGTCATGCTTCTTGCCGTTCAGGTTGGGCCCCAACCAGTCTAGGTCGGTCAGCATTGCCTTGTGCGCAGATGTGCCCAGTAGACAGCAGCTGAGTATCGAAACCCTGCTTCGAAAGGGTCTAGAGGAGGTCTGAGGAAAAGGTCGCACTCCCCACAGAACTGGAAAGCAACATGGGCTCTTCCCCTCACAATCCCGGGCGTGTCTTTCCTCTGTGCTCAACCCGGGGTGCAGCTGTCCAGCGAACGCAAACATCTCTGGCCTAAGGCCGAAGCATAGAACTTGAAGCCGCGACGTTGGTTTCCCTGGATGGCCATGGTTTGCCCGGGCCTTCGCGGTGCTTGAGCCGCACAATGCAGCATGTGGTCACCAAAGCAACAAAGGATCTCGCCCCGTTGCGGCCAAGCTGGCGGGACCTGGCGGTCTCAAAGCATCGTACTACTTCTTGTATGGAGGTGCTCGAAACAGCTTGCCTTCTAGCAGGTTCCAAAGCTTGTCCTGCTCGAAGTAATGAAGACCTCATGCTAAGCATCTTTGCTGAGGCATTCGCATCTGATATGGCGCGTCCATGTCTGCCGCATTCTAAGGATTCAGCCAATGTTCAGCTCATGGTGCCCATTCTGAGGTCAATGGCAAAGACGTCGAGTTTCAGGGAGAGTGCATTGGAAGCGACCTAAAGCCTGTTCACCCGCCTTCCCATATCCTTCAAAGGTCCCGATTTTCCGTAGCCGGAAGGGCCAGCCGCCGATGCCTGGGCCACTCCACAGGGCAGTGGGGGAGGCGGGAATGGGGGGGGCTCGCTGTGAGGTGTCACGGGTTCCTCGGGCATGGTGCCTTGTTTTAACATCCGGGTCCTATCTTGTCTTTCTGAGCATGCACACTCTGGAGAAGCCAAGCTGAACCTTGGGCTTGCTGCTGGGTGTATTTGTCGCCATACAAAAGCCTTTCTTTCACGCTCGACAACCCTGGCCGTGGCACCATCTTTAGTTTCTAGACTTCAAGGCAGCCCGTGTCCCGAGGTGCAGGCGCATGACGCATGGGTAGTATCCTCAGGGCGGCATCTTTCAGCTGATGGAAAAACCAAAAGGCAACGCACTGGCTGAATGCCGGGAGACAGATCGTGGCAGAAATTGCGCCGAATAGATGGTGCTGGCCGCGGTTCACCAAAACCATGTTATGCCAGCAAGGAGCCCCAGGTGGGATTGCCGGCAAAATCCGCGATGCGAATCTCCGCCTTTCAGTGCGTTTGGGCGGGCGTGTCAAAAGTCACTGCAGCCAAGTCTATCGCAGAAAGGTGAGCGACCTCGATGTCGCCTACCGGCATCACTTTTTCGGAGAACTCCTGAAGTTGCGAGGCAAATTGTGGGGCAGAACTTAATCACCATGCCTGGAAAAACATCGAACCAGTCAACCCACTTTGCTTTGCAGGGCCAGGGGCTTCAGCCGAGGGCAGTCCGCCCGACTCGCGCAGTCGCGCAACTTCGTCCAACATTTTGTGGGACGGGCTCTGCAGCACTGGCAGTCCCTAGCTCGCGCTCGTCCTCTGACTCTCGCTCTCTCTGCTTCTCGCTATCTCAGTCTTTCTCCGGCTCTGCTTTCCTTCATTGAAATGAAAGGCGTCAACGAGACCGATGCACTGGAGGACCACCCCGAACATGAGCGTTCGGCCTCATTATTGATCCCTCCTTGGCTAAACGTCCTAAATGGGCCCTCGAAAGCCAAGCTTTGGCTTTCTTTTCTGTTCTATCCTGCGGGGAAGGGGAGCGACCGCCCCCCTCGCGCTCGAGTGCCCTCGCTTATTCCGGGTGTTTCGGAAGTGAAGGCTGACCTCTCCCTCCCTTCTCTTCCGGGCAGAAAGGGTGAGTCAAGCCGCTCGGGGAACAAGCCCACCCTCTTGCGATCTTTCCGGAGGTGGTCAGCCAGAACGGCAACATCTTGTTCCTCTTTTTTCTTTCTTTCGCAGGGAACAGTGTGGGGTGCACGCTCTTTGTTGGTGGATCCTGCTCCTAGTTGAATCGAATGAACCGAGGCCAAAGCAAATTTTGAGAAGTTATACTGATGTGGCGAAGGCAGTACAGGTATGTTGAAGTCTCATTCCTCGCATGCTCATAGCTCTGTGCAGATTCTCCTCTGCGTTGAGGCCCATGTGGACAACGTTGTTGTCCCAGAATCTGCGCGCCTGCAATAGGACGACTTATCCTCGACAAGCAAACTGAGGCGGATCGAGTTCCCTGCCTGAACATCAGGCACGTTGTGATTGTCACGCTTAGGGATGTAGTCTTGCAGCGGAAAGTTCCATGTACAGTCCTTGGCTAGGTGGAACCGCGGAGCATGGACCGAATCATGAAAAGGCCTGCGCATGCAGCAGGCTGAGGCAAGCTCGCGCACCCCCTCGTATTGCATGCACTCAACCTGACTCACGGACGAACTTCTCAGAGAGTCTCTCCATGTCGTAGCATTTCAGCAGCTTTTACTTGCCATGGATTTGCCTTCATTGCGGTGCTAGGCCTACCTTTGTTTCCATCTGTCCCGGGTCCATCCGTCCCCGCCCTCCCGAGCTTGCATCTGTGATGTGAGGCCCAGGCAGTTAGGCGGCAGTTCTTCTCGGGAACAGGCCGCGTCGTGCACAAATCCTAGTGCAAGTAACTGCAAGTATAAAACACGCTAAGTCTCGATGAGTAGCCTGTTTCAACACGGTTCAGCTCAGCTCTGGGCATGTCGAGCTGCTGTAAACGTGACGTACTGCTCGCTAAGCCTCGAGTGCACAGGCACAGCGTATCACCCTGCCGTGTGCAGATGTGTGCCCAGTCACATTACTAAGACTTTGGCCCTTGCTATCTGGGAATAGAAATGTCTGGGTTGATGAAAAATTCTCGTGCCGATGACACACACACTGGAGTTGTCGCATACCTACATCTTGTATGAGCATGAACTCCAGCATGAGCGCAAGTTCTATCAACTGGTCTCTCCTGTGCATTTGCGCGCACGCACCTGCTTTTCAAACATATTCCATAAGGCCTGGGAACCTAGGAAATTTAAGAATAAGTCGCAGCTGTCGTGGTAAGTCAACTGCCCAATGCTCAGTATCGGACCTGCTGTCGGTGTTCAGCGCTGACAAGCTCGCAAAGAAATCCGATCTCTTCCCCTGTGGGCCAGATGCCATGATTTAGCTGAGGACAAGTCTAAGACAGCGGAGACTGAACTGGACCTCTTGGAAGTCCTTGCTGCTGAACATCGCCAGAGGAGGGAAGTTTGTCCTCAGCCGACGCCACCGCGCAACGCAAGGCAGCGGAGAGAGGCAGGCCTACTGGCTGCAGTCGAGCTTCCATAGCATGGAATTCCACCATAGTGCGCCACCAAGTGGGCGAGCCAGGTCGAGTTCGCCACATATCTCTTCGGGCCTCGTAGCAGGGCTTCTGCTTTGGCCGGACTCTCCGGGCAACGCAGGGAACAGCTGAGAGCCAGTCGCTTGAGGGATTTCCTCGGAAAGCACTCGAGGTCCTGCAATTGGCAGGCAGAGTCTAGCAGACTCCATGGCTTATCACTATACTACACAACAACGACTGGCCTGTGCCAACCATGGTGCCCAGCAGCTGAGATGTGCGACTTCCGGTGTTTTCTTTCTACGAGGTGGGCTGTTCTATTGCGCCGAGGACTACTGTATGTCACTGTATGTTTGCAGTCATTGGTCGCTTGATGCATTCTCATCTGCAGTCTGGTCAGCTCTGGCTTTCTAAATGTCTCGGACCTCGTCAAGCCAGTCGGCACAGGCTCGAGTTTCATAAACAGACAGATACGCAAGCTGACACTCGGCCGTTTGGAAGTATACCGAGTGGGCTGTGAAACTGAGGGTCGTTTTTCAGCTTCCCTCCGGCCCCGGTACAGCACGACAAGGAGTATCAGGAATCTTCCTGGGCACCGGCCATGCGTGACCAGAAAGGCCAGAAATGTCGCCACCGACTAGAGACAGAGAGCCAGTCAAGCCTGCAAAGGAAACGCGTCGGCGTTGTCCGGTCAGCGTAAGCCGCCTCCGTGGCAAGTCGGGCTGGAAGTCGGCCTGGGTACCGACTGGGTGGTCTCCTCAATCTCCGCTTCCTCCGTGGTCGTGGGGGAACTATACGTCTCCAGGCTAGCTTCGTTGCTTTACGGTCTCACCACACCTTTTCACCCAGAACCAGCTCTCGGCGAAACAGGACACCGGACCGAGCCAGCTTGTTCGGGCTACGGAGGTGCAAGTCCTCGCCATCAATGAAAACGATCTCTGGTGGCTTGTAAACGCTTTGGACCTCTTGAAGATATGCGGGGTCTCTGTAAATGCTCCCAAAAATCACCATATCGTAGTGATGTTCAAGGATTTTCGAGCGAACGTCAGAACGATCAACACGGCCCAGATCAAAGTCCAGGGTCATGGAGTAGGTGAAGCCACGGCTATGCAGGTCTCCTCTGCTCTTCTGCCAGTTGCCGTGCACTGGGTCAGGCCGGATTCTGGGGTTGGGGCCATACATGTGATCGACGCGTGGGAAGTCTACCACTAACGGACACAGTTTTTTGAGGCCATGCAAGAGCATATCCCTCTGATAGTCAGGGTAGATCCGCCCAGACAGAAAAAGGATCGTTTTGGGACAAAGCCCGGTTTGGGACTTCATGCCCGAGACAGCCCGGACGGTTTCAAGCACGTACTTGGCCATGGCTTTGGTGGTCAAATGGCGTCGTGCGTAACTCATCATATCAGCAAGGAGAGTGTAGTAGTTTATCATTTCGCTTTGACGAAGTTTGAAAGCCTTTGCCGGTTTGGCCTGCAGAGCATGAAGGCTTCGGTTTCCCAATAGGCCCCAAGCTTTGTGGAGCAAGTCTCGAGGTAGGAAAGGCAACGCCCTCTCTGGCAAGTCGCCAAGGCTCAGGAAAAGTGGAATTGCTCCGTTTGCAATAATCTCGTAATGCCGCAGGCAATCATATCCAAACTTCTTGCGGGTGATACCAAAATAGGCATGCCGGTACTGCCGGCGATACTCGTGCTCCTGATAGAACTGAAACTCGTACTCCTTGTTTGCATGTATTCTCCTTCCATCAGAAAGCGCCAAGGGCCAGTATTTTTCCGGCAGACAAGGCACTAACATTTCCTCGGGAACAGCAAAGCCAATCGGATACATGTAGGTCGCCGGTGAACTCTCCAGTTCAACCCGGGTAATGTTTGGTGCAAAAAAGGTCCGGTTCGGCTGGCCCAGGGTACCCTCGAAACATCTGAAGCTGCAGAAGGGGAAAACACATGGCACATGTGCTTCCGGTGCTTCCACCTGCTCCGCCAGTATCCCGGCAAAGCCAAGCAGGCCAAATCGCAACATGGCAACCAGACATGCTTTGCTGGTTCGGATTCTTGAACAGGGGACCGGGGTTGCATGCTCTTCGCGTGTGGAGTCCAGCGCCTACGGATCAGACTGTCGCCGACAAGTCTTGCAGGGGCGCTATGGGCATGATTTGCCAAGTTAGGTGCTATTCGGTGTCGGAGGTGACATGATGTGATGTCCTCGCCCTTCTTGCAGTGATTGCAGCGTTGAGTCACACCAAAATCAACCCTAGTGAGCCTCTGTCGTCTTCGATTTCATCAACATCTTCATCGAATGAGGCTTGGAAGGTTCGCTTCGGAGATCTGGACTCCGGATTGGTGTTACGTAGCAGTGCATCATTCTCTTTGTGTCTTGGGCCCACAGGTGTCAGTTCAATCACCATAGACAAGTTGTTTGAGTCAGCGATTTTCGGGATCACGAGCCACGCGAACTAGCACCCCATCCAAGACCTCTGCAAATTAGCCAGTTGATCGCTTCTGCCGCAGCCCTTAATCCCAAAAAAGTTTCATAAAAACGAACTGTGCGACGGGTCTGTCTGCTCACACCATGTTAATGCGTTCACACCAACTGAGATCGACGCATCACAAAAACATGTGGGGCCAATCGACTTTTCTGCAGTGGCAATAGCAGTCCAACATGCAGTGATAGCAACATTAAACGATACTTCGTCATTGCGACCCGCAAGACGCCATGTGCTGAGAAGGGCCATGGATTGCTGCCACTGCGCAGCTCTCTCACATGCACTCATGGTTGAATTATGTGTAATGACATCCTGCCGAACATGGAGACATGTCAGCCGGTCCAAGAGGGCCAATGCTAACTGCCAGCGTGCTGCCTTCTGACATGCACTGATGGTCGAGTTGTAAGTGATGATATCAGCTTGCAGGCGCCCCAGCTCAACCTCTTGCAGAAGCTGCAACGCAAGCTGCCACTCCTCGCCCTTCTCGCATGCACTGATGCATGCGTTGTATGTTATAAGGGACGGATTCAGATGCTCTGTGCCAAGCTGCTGAAACATGTACACGGCCTGCTGCCACTCAGAGTTCTTTTCACAGGCAGAGATGACCGAATTGTATGTGATGACATCCAGTTGAAGCTGCTGCTGCTTCATCTGGTTCAGATGCCACGCGGAGGTTTGCCAACGGCTTGATTTCTCATATGCAGCCAATACTGCGTTGAACGTGACTGTGTTTGGCAAGAGCTGCATGCGTGAAAACGAGTCGTTCATTAAGTACAGGGCCATTCGCCAATGTCCAACTTTTTCACAGGCACTTATTGTAGCATTAAACACGATCACATCCGGCACTACCTGAATGCGCTCCATCTCCTCGAGCAGCAGCAGCGCACGCTGCCATTGTGCAGCTCTCTCACAAGCTGTGCTTGCCGAGCTGTAAGTGATCGTGTTTGGCTCTAAGCTAATGACCTCCATCTCCCGTAGCAGCTGCAAAGCATGCAGCCACATTGCGGACTTGCCACACGCACTTATGGTGGCGCTGTAAAGGATGACATTCAACTGCAGCCACTGTCTCTGAGCTGCATTGAGCATCTCCAGGCCAGTCTTCCAATCTGAGGCAGCTTCACATGCACTAACTGCTGCACTGTATGTGACAATAGTAGGCTGCAGGTGCAGCTTACTTATACTCTGTGTCATCAACAAAGCTCGCGAACTTTCCGCAGCCCTTCCAAAGGAGCTAATCAATGAATTGAACGTAACAATCGTCGCCTGAGTGTGTGTGGCCTCCATCGTACACAGCAAGCTTACGGCCCGTGACCACTGCGATGTTTTCTCCAAAGCAGCAACAACCGTATTGCATGTCACTGCAGTCACTTCTAGTTGACGGCACTCACTGTCGCACAGAAGCAGCACGGCGTCTGGCCAAGATCCACATGCTCTGTGTGAATTGGCCATGATCGAAAAAGTGATCAAGTTGCGCTGTAGGCGATGCTTTCGAATGTCACCCAGAGCCTGCACGGCACGCTGCCACTGACAGGCCTTCTCTAGTGTACCCAATGCTGAGTTGCATGTCACCACGTCGCGCCGAAACCTCCGTCTTTCTGTTTCTTGCAGCAGCTGGAAAGCTTCTGTCCACTGCTCACCACATCGGTGGATTGCTTTGTTGTGTTCTGCGATACTCGCGGACGGCCCAGAGCAGGAACCCATGCGCTGTCTTGCCAGCTCAAGCTTGTGCAGTCGGGGGTGCTTGACAGTCCAAAGCACCTAGGTAGTGCAACTGTAGCTGCGACTACGACCACTACGACGTGGCTACTAGCAACTAGTAGTAGCAGTAGCAGTAGCAGTAGTACTGGTGGTAGTAGCAGTATAGTAGGAGGACGAGGAGGAGTAGGAGGAGGAGTACGAGTAGTAGGAGGAGCACGAGCTTGTAGTTGTAGTCGTCGTTGTAGTAGTAGTTATAGCAGTAGTAGTAGTAGTAGTAGTAGCAGCAGCAGGAGTAAGCAGTAGTAAAAGTAGTAGTAGCAGCAGTAGCAGCACCAGGAGCAGGAGTAGTGGCAGTAGTAGCAGTAGTAGTAGTAGCAGTAGTAGTCGTAGTAGTAGTAATAGTAGTAATAGTAGTAGTAGTAATAGTAGTAGTGGTAGTGGTAGTGGTAGCAGTGAGGTGGTAGTGGTAGTGGCGGTGGTGGCGGTGGTGGTGGTGGTGGTGGTAGTAGTAGTAGTAGTAGTACGAGAAGAAAACGTAGCAGTAGCAGCAGTAGCAGCAGTAGCACTCGTACTGGTACTGCTACTAGTTCTACTACTACAACTACAACACCTACTACAACTCCTACTCCTTCTCCTACTCCTGCTCCGCCTCCTACCCCTACTCCTACTCCTACTACTACGACTACTCCTCCTACTGCTACTGCTACTCTGCTACTGCTACTGCTACTACTACTACTACTACTACTACTACTCCCACTGCCACTGCTACTGCCACTGCTTCTGCCTCTGCTCCTGCTGCTGCGACTGCGACTGCGACTGCGACTGCCACTGCCACTGCTCCTGCTGCTGCTACTGCTACTGCTGCTGCTGCTACTACTGCTACTGCTCCTCCTCCTGTTCAGATGGTCTCTATACTATCATCTCCGGGGAAACTCCCTCGCTCCCTCTTCGCTCCCAATCCCTCACTTCCTCACTCGGGGGTTGTTTATCAAGAAGACCTGTGGAGCTAGGGTGTCCTAGCTCGATTCCTCTCTTGAGATTCCTCAAGATTGTTCAAATGAAGAGCTTCCAACGGTAG